TACTGTACCACGCTCTACTGTAATGTAACCTGTAAAGTGCTGAGTACACCTGTTAGCGCTATATAAATAAAATTTACATACACTGTATATCTACTGCACTTACTGTACCTCCCTCTACTGTAATGTAACCTGTAAAGTGCTGAGTACACCTGTTAGCGCTATATAAATAAAATATACATACACTGTATACCTACTGCACTTACTGTACATCCCTCTACTGTAATGTAACCTGTAAAGTGCTGAGTACACCTGTTAGCGCTATATAAATAAAATATACATACACTGTATACCTACTGCACTTACTGTACCTCCCTCTACTGTAATGTAACCTGTAAAGTGCTGAGTACACCTGTTAGCGCTATATAAATATAATCTACATACACTGTATACCTACTGCACTTACTGTACTTCCCTCTACTGTAATGTAACCTGTAAAGTGCTGAGTATACCTGTTAGCGCTATATAAATATAATATACATACACTGTATACCTACTGCACTTACTGTACCTCCCTCTACTGTAATGTAACCTGTAAAGTGCTGAGTACACCTGTTAGCGCTATATAAATAAAATTTACATACACTGTATATCTACTGCACTTACTGTACCTCCCTCTACTGTAATGTAACCTGTAAAGTGCTGAGTACACCTGTTAGCGCTATATAAATAAAATATATATACACTGTATACCTACTGCACTTACTGTACCTCCCTCTACTGTAATGTAACCTGTAAAGTGCTGAGTACACCTGTTAGCGCTATATAAATACAATATACATACACTGTATACCTACTGCACTTACTGTACCTCCCTCTACTGTAATGTAACCTGTAAAGTGCTGAGTACACTTGTTAGCGCTATATAAATAAAATATACATACACTGTATACCTACTGCACTTACTGTACCTCCCTCTACTGTAATGTAACCTGTAAAGTGCTGAGTACACCTGTTAGCGCTATATAAATATAATATACATACACTGTATACCTACTGCACTTACTGTACCTCCCTCTACTGTAATGTAACCTGTAAAGTGCTGAGTATACCTGTTAGCGTTATATAAATATAATATACATACACTGTATACCTACTGCACTTACTGTACCTCCCTCTACTGTAATGTAACCTGTAAGGTGCTGAGTACACCTGTTAGTGCTATATAAATAAAATATACATACACTGTATACCTACTGCACTTACTGTACCTCCCTCTACTGTAATGTAACCTGTAAAGTGCTGAGTACACCTGTTAGCGCTTTATAAATAAAATATACATACACTGTATACCTACTGCACTTACTGTACCTCCCTCTACTGTAATGTAACCTGTAAAGTGCTGAGTACACCTGTTAGCATTATATAAATAAAATATACATACACTGTATACCTACTGTACTTACTGTACCTCCTTCTACTGTAATGTAACCTGTAAAGTGCTGAGTACACCTGTTAGAGCTATATAAATAATAATATACATACACTGTATACCTACTGCACTCACTGTACCTCCCTACTGTAATGTAACCTGTAAAGTGCTGAGTACACCTAAGTTAGCGCTATATAAATAAAATATACATACACTGTATACCTACTGCACTCCACTGTACCTCCCTCGACTGTAATGTAACATGTAAAGTGCTGAGTACACCTGTTAGCTTATATAAATAAAATATACATACACTGTATACCTACTGCACTTACTGTACCTCCCTCTACTGTAATGTAACCTGTAAAGTGCAGAGTACACCTGTTAGTGCTATATAAATAAAATATACATACACTGTATACCTACTGCACTTACTGTACCTCCCTCTACTGTAATGTAACCTGTAAAGTGCTGAGTACACCTGTTAGCGCTATATAAATAAAATATACATACACTGTATACCTACTGCACTTACTTTACCTCCCTCTACTGTAATGTAACCTGTAAAGTGCTGAGTACACCTGTTAGCGCTATATAAATATACATACACTGTATACCTACTGCACTTACTGTACCTCCCTCTACTGTAATGTAACCTGTAAAGTGCTGAGTACACCTGTTAGCGCTATATAAATAAAATATACATACACTGTATACCTACTGCACTTACTGTACCTCCCTCTACTGTAATGTAACCTGTAAAGTGCTGAGTACACCTGTTAGCGCTATATAAATAAAATATACATACACTGTATGCCTACTGCATTCACTGTACCTCCCTCTACTGTAATGTAACCTGTAAAGTGCTGAGTACACCTGTTAGCGCTATATAAATAAAATATACATACACTGTATGCCTACTGCATTCACTGTACCTCCCTCTACTGTAATGTAACCTGTAAAGTGCTGAGTACACCTGTTAGCGCTATATAAATAAAATATACATACACTGTATACTTACTGCACGTACTGTACCTCCCTCTACTGTAATGTAACCTGTAAAGTGCAGATTACACCTGTTTTATAACTTATTCTAAGTACATTTCCGAGCAGGTGGGATGGTGTTCTGGGGTGAAGGGCTGTGAATGAACACATACCTTGAAATTAGTTTTCGTTTTACCCATCACATACATCCTCTGTTCTGCCTAGAGATTATTTCTTCGGCCACTGTCCGGGGTTTAATGAATAGGGCTGATTACCGAATATTCAGGAATAATGTAAAGCAATGATAGCATAGGCGTGCCCAGCCTATTGCATTAGGGTGTGCACCCTAAAGCACAAACACACGCCGCATGTATATATGTACACATACACACACACACATACTGCTGTTTGTGTGTGGGTGCTGTTAGTGCGCTGTGTGAGGGTGCTGTGTGTGTTAGGATGCTCTGTGTGTGTGTGTGTGTGTGGGTGAGGGTGTTGGTAGTGTGCTATGTGGGTGAGGGTGCTGGTAGTGTGCGGTGTGTGAGGGTGCGGTTTGTGTGTGAGGGTGTTTGTGTATGTGTGTTAAGGTCCTGTTAGTGTGCTGTGTGTGTGAGGGTGCTGTTTGTGTCGTGTATTTGTGAGGGTGCTGTTAGTGTGCTGTTTGTGTGAGGGTGCTGTGTGTTTGTAAGGGTGCTGTTTGTGTCGTGTATTTGTGAGGGTGCGGTTAGTGTGCTGTGTGTGAGAGGGTGCTGTATGTGTGCTGTTTTTGTGTGCTGTGTGTGAGGGTGCTGTGTGCGCGCGCTGTTTGTGTTAGGGTGCTGTATGTGTGTGTTGTATGTTTGGAGGGATTGTGAAGGTGGGGGCAGATTAGTAAATAACCCCCCTCCCTTCTTACCTTATGTAGGAAGGGGGATCCTTGCTGTCCAAGGGAGTGTGAACTCTAGCCTGCGGGGCTAGAGTTCACTCTTGTGAGATCTGAGCATTACCGCGGCAGGGAAAGGAATTGCAGGGAAAGGAATTGCAAACATAAAAAATATCAATGTATAAAAATTCTCCAGTTCAGCTGGTTTTCCCCCAAACTAGGCTGTTTACACCTAAATGTTAAAATATCAAATATCTATTTCCTACAATTCCCAGTAAATAAACGCCAAGTGATGATGCATTCAACGTGACATTACTCAACTAGAACGTTAAAAGAAAATGTAACCAACTCACACGAGCTGCTAAACCCACTCCACCACACAACATCGCTGAACTCCATCTCACACGCGATGGTAAAGAAAATCTGTAGTTCGATAGTTTTAAGATGCCAGATAAGTCACTAAGCCAATTCCCATTCACTTTGCAGCCATTAACATGCGTTCTTCAAAATATGTAAATCAATGGAGATGCCGAAGGTTGATCCGTGAACACCCAGACTCTTATTTTGTGTCAAGTCGCAGATGATCACAACGTTAAGTTCTATATATAGTTAAATAAGCGAGCATTATGGCGAGACCGGAATCTCAGTAAGTGTTGGGGCTTTCACGGTGAGTGGTAATGCGAGGCGATTTGAAAATTACCAGGCAAGAGGCATAATGTTCCCTTAGCAGACAGCACGCCTACGCCTTTCCAACAAAACGAGAAAGCCCTTCAAGAGCATCAGAATTAACCTGTCTTTTGAGAGAACAGTGAGTCACATTATCAGTAATGAAAATAAAACGGAACACCCAAACATTCTCTTTGTTAACCAGTTTACAAGACATGGGTAACCTCAGATAGCCTGATTCGAGATCGATGTGCTAGATTATGCAACTTTCTACCAAATATCTTCGTAACTTCACAATCTTCCGCTCGGAGAACTACACAAGTAAAGAGACTTTTCAGTCTGCTCCGACCTTGTGGACAAGCAAGTAATGCATTATGGGAATTTATATTTATGTTATCCCACCTCTGACACCATGACTTTAGGGATTATTTTTTTTAATTCAGTTTTTTGGGGGTTTTTTCAGTTATACTTCCTTGTTGTCTGCCTGGGATTTTTAGGAATCTCGGTGACCCAACAAGCTCCTTCTGGCTCTTGTCTGCAATGTGTGGACATAAACCTGGCTGGTTGTATGATGTCAGTTAAAATAGTTCTCACCACACACCAAAAAAAAAAAAAAAGGCGTTTAAATAGTAAACAGAGATTTGAGGCCTGATTCATGAAATGGACAAAATAGAACTGGAAAAAGTTCACTCAATTTTGACTTCAAATTTACAATCCTCCGCAACTCCCAGTTTGGTGAATAAGTGGTAGAAAGTATTAGAAAGGTGGTGTGTGTGTGATATCACTGATCCATGCTATATATGCTTTGGCACGTTAGTATTAGAAAGGTGGTGTGTGTGAGATATCACTGATCCAGGCTATATATGCTTTGGCACGTTAGTATTAGAAAGGTGGTGTGTGTGTGATATCACTGATCCAGGCTATATATGCTTTGGTACGTTAGTATTAGAAAGGTGGTGTGTGATATCACTGATCCAGGCTATATATGCTTTGGCACGTTAGTATTAGAAAGGTGGTGTGTGTGTGATATCACTGATCCATGCTATATCTGCTTTGGTACGTTAGTATTAGAAAGGTGGTGTGTGATATCATTGATCCATGCTATATATCCTTTGGTACGTTAGTATTAGAAAGGTGGTGTGTGATATCACTGATCCATGCTATATATGCTTTGGTACGTTAGTATTAGAAAGGTGGTGTGTGATATCACTGATCCATGCTATATATCCTTTGGTAAGTTAGTATTAGAAAGGTGGTGTGTGATATCACTGATCCAGGCTATATATGCTTTGGTACGTTAGTATTAGAAAGGTGGTGTGAGTGATATCACTGATCCATGCTATATATGCTTTGGCACGTTAGTATTAGAAAGGTGGTGTGTGATATCACTGATCCATGCTATATATGCTTTGGCACGTTAGTATTAGAAAGGTGGTGTGTGATATCACTGATCCATGCTATATATGCTTTGGTACGTTAGTATTAGAAAGGTGGTGTGTGATATCACTGATCCATGCTATATATCCTTTGGCACGTTAGTATTAGAAAGGTGGTGTGTGATATCACTGATCCATGCTATATATGCTTTGGCACGTTAGTATTAGAAAGGTGGTGTGTGATATCACTGATCCATGCTATATGCTTTGCTAATCGCTAGTATTAGAAAGGTGGTGCGATATCACTGATCCATGCTATATAATTCCTAAATGCTAGTATTAGAAAGGTGGTGTGTGATATCACTGATCCATGCTATATATGCTTTGGCACGTTAGTATTAGAAAGGTGGTGTGTGTGTGATATCACTGATCCAGGCTATATATCCTTTGGTACGTTAGTATTAGAAAGGTGGTGTGTGATATCACTGATCCATGCTATATATGCTTTGGCACGTTAGTATTAGAAAGGTGGTGTGTGATATCACTGATCCATGCTATATATCCTTTGGCACGTTAGTATTAGAAAGGTGGTGTGTGATATCACTGATCCATGCTATATATCCTTTGGCACGTTAGTATTAGAAAGGTGGTGTGTGTGTGATATCACTGATCCAGGCTATATATGCTTTGGCACGTTAGTATTAGAAAGGTGGTGTGTGTGATATCACTGATCCATGCTATATATCCTTTGGTACGTTAGTATTAGAAAGGTGGTGTGTGTGTGATATCACTGATCCATGCTATATATGCTTTGGTAAGTTAGTATTAGAAAGGTGGTGTGTGATATCACTGATCCATGCTATATATCCTTTGGTACGTTAGTATTAGAAAGGTGGTGTGTGATATCACTGATCCATGCTATATATGCTTTGGCACGTTAGTATTAGAAAGGTGGTGTGTGATATCACTGATCCATGCTATATATCCTTTGGTAAGTTAGTATTAGAAAGGTGGTGTGTGATATCACTGATCCATGCTATATATCCTTTGGCACGTTAGTATTAGAAAGGTGGTGTGTGATATCACTGATCCATGCTATATATGCTTTGGTACGTTAGTATTAGAAAGGTGGTGTGTGATATCACTGATCCATGCTATATATCCTTTGGTACGTTAGTATTAGAAAGGTGGTGTGTGATATCACTGATCCATGCTATATATCCTTTGGTACGTTAGTATTAGAAAGGTGGTGTGTGATATCACTGATCCATGCTATATATGCTTTGGTACGTTAGTATTAGAAAGGTGTGTGTGTGATATCACTGATCCATGCTATATATCCTTTGGTACGTTAGTATTAGAAAGGTGGTGTGTGATATCACTGATCCATGCTATATATCCTTTGGTACGTTAGTATTAGAAAGGTGGTGTGTGATATCACTGTTCCATGCTATATATCCTTTGGCACGTTAGTATTAGAAAGGTGGTGTGTGATATCACTGATCCATGCTATATATGTACGTTAGCCCATGGCTGCAGAAATTCTGTAGGTTGCTGTAAGGTACGTTTGTGGATATATTCCTGTCCCTTTAGGAAATGTTGCCGAATTTTAGCCGTTATGGATATGTGCATCTCGCTGTCCTGTGAAAAGAAGGCAGGGGCCCCTTTAAGAGATATGTTATTTGCAGCCCAATTCCACAAATTATAGGAGTCAGTGGGATGCAGTGTCTCTCATGGGATTAACGCCACAAGTTAAATGTTTCCCCCACTTACTGCACACACATGTAATCACAGACATTTTGCGTTTAGATGCGGATTTAATATTTTCGGATAAGCTTTTCAAATTAAACAAATAAGGTTTTATAAACTTAAACGCTTTAGTTAGCTTGTAAATAAAACCTAACTACAAAAAAATAAAAAATCTATTTCAGTTTAAAGATTTTTTTTTTTTTTTAAAACTACCCATTCTGCAAATAAAGGAGCCGATGTGTGTCACCCCCATCTTGCACATTAACAAGCAGCAAGGTAATTGTTTAATATCACCTGGTTTTATAAAGGCAGAGAAAAAAACTTTATTGCAAAAAAAAAAAAAAAGAAAGACAAATGTATATGTTACAAAACAAGTGACAGTCAGGTAACAGATTGAAAGAAGCACAGTTCTTGACAACATAGTAACAGGACAAGGATTTCATGAAACAAATTGTTTTAAATAAAATACTACCATCTGATACGTTTGGACCTGATAAGTGATGAGCCAGAACCAGCTATCAGTATTAACGAGTTTACAGCAGGGCTGCCCATGGACGTCTGGGGATCTACCTTTCTTGCACCCCTGGTTCACGGCTTCAGAAAACTGCTACAAACCCACCTCTATTGAACCGCTGTGAACTGCATTTCCCACCATTATGGAAAATACAGTCTATGTTGATCCACTTCTATCTACGCCTCCCCTTTGCCAGATAAATCAAGGGGAAAGCAAAAGGAAAACGGCCGTAATACATAACAGCAAGTGGGGACTTTACCTCCTTCGTGTCACCTGGTCAGGTGACCAAGACCGGACATGTGATCAGTTAAACGGATTCCTACGCTGCATGCAAGTTAATCTTTATGGCCCTGTTTACGGTATAATGAACAGGTCTGTGTTTAACCTTAAAGGAAACTCTCCAAACTCCTAAAAGTACATCAGCGTGCTGAAGTGCATTAGGGGTTAACAGTGTTAAGTGCTGATTTAAAGAGACATTTCATCAAGGTGCTAAGTTGCACCTGCCCAGATGTTAGCCAGGAGAGCACAAAGTAATGTTGCACATGCGCCGTTTCCCCAATACGTCTCCATTGGTTTGGCCGCGAGAAGAGGCGTAGTGGGCGGAGCAGAGCTGCAGTGAGGAACCAACTTGCTGCTGGATTCGAGGAGAGTTAACTCTTTATTGCAGCTTGGGGATGGGAAAGTTTGAGAGTAACCAACACCCCAGCATTATAAACAAAAGGAATGTATTGCTAATGCTGGAGTGTTCCTTTAAGGCTGACGTGTTGTTGGACGATGTAAATACGCTGTACATATTGTACTGTCTGATTGCAGCATTTCGTGTCATTAATGGGGTCTCACTGTTCTTTGAGATTTTATCATGTTGTGTAAAAGAAATGATGAAATAAAGCGTTTGTTTGCCAGCTGTTTCCGTAAAACAAAATGGACATCACACCATATACTGGTTACAATACAGTGAGCTGCAGTGGTTTGACCCAAGCAGTCACAGGGAATGTAGCGGAAATGCAGAATTATCTAGCAGACATTGTGACCTGAATTTTATTTTTCATTTTATCAATATTTGCCGTCTACAGAATGATCTGTGTGATTATAACCCACCATCATCCATACAAGCAAACAATGAGTGCTTTAGCACATGTTCATTTCGACAATGTTTTCTAAATGCGGAGGTTTGTCCCCTGCCCTCCCAGACACTGGATCTGCTCAGTCTATTGAATCCAGCACTCAAATTGTCAAAAGAGGGCTCCTTATGACAAATGCATGTTTCGGAGCAGCTTTGGCCCCTCTCCAAACGGTTTCAGCTGAGGATGTATCACTGCACAGGGTACCCCAGTTGTACGGCAGTGTAATGGCAAGTTTTAGGGTGTTCTTGTGTATAACACGGGTGGATAAAAAGTAGATTCTTGGCTGGCAAAGCATCATGGGAATTCTATATCGGCATAGGATCAACAGCTTTAGCCAATACTGGTTGATAATATCCCAGCCGCATCGTGAAACCAGTTATTTTGACATTTCTGTTAAAAACAAATTGAAGTTGACAGCACATTTTAGGGAGCAAGAAAGATTCTCCTGCTAGCTGTGTGCGCTAGAACCAACATACGATCCAATTGTCCAAATATCACAAGTCAGGCTGCAACGCCCACCACGATGTTCAGTCATCCTCCGCCATACTGCATCCTTGCTTTACTTGGCTCCCAAGCAATCGACAATTCCGCTACTTTTAATCCCATCAAAGAAGAAAAAGTTGTTGTGAGGTGCATCTCTCTGAGACAACGCCTGGAGAGCAAAAATCATAGAAATATTAACAAAACTATTATTTGGACATAATGTCTTCCCTGCTTTGCTTCAACCAACGGCGTGATTGGATACAAGTAAATTTTTTATTTTATTTTTTTTAAAGTGTTGTTGATAAATTGGTGCAAAGTAGTAAGAGTGGTGCAATAACCACGAAAACACAAAATTTCAATTTATCTAACACAGCCAGCAGTGATTGGTCGACAGAGTCAGATTAAGGCGTGCTGATCACATTGAATGAAATGAATACTGATATACTCGCTGACGACAGTACTGGATTTTGTCAAATAGCTCCAAAACAATATGACGGTAATCACCCTCCTCTGCAAAAACACGTTATTCGGTAATAAACATAGTCACCAAAAATGAGAACTATAGAGGGCTTACGGCAACTAACCTTTCAATCAAGTTCATTTACAGGAAAGAAGCACTCGGAAAAATGGCTCACAAAAAACTGAGGGTTTTAGTTATTTTAAAGGATTAATATGTAAAATTGAAACGGCTTTGAAAAGTTATTTAATAAAATATCAGAATTTGCAAGTGTTTTTGTCGACCTAATGAAAAAGGCCCCATCAAATCTACCATACGTCCCCGAGGTAGACTGATCGCCCTCTCAGGTGACTGAAGAATGACTACCTCAATTGTCCTGCAGTATAGAAGCCTAAACTTTCCAACATGGTAGAAAGTATTAAACAGATGGAAAGTATAACATATGCCTTATCAAAAAACTACAGAACATTCACTCAAATATGGAAACCCTGGTCAATCTACCTAGGGGGAGCAAAGTGAGACATAGGCAAAAGTAACAAAAATAGTACTTGGTGCTGAGGACTACACAAATATCACATGTACAGCATAATTTACACTATGTATACTGCAGTATTTAATACTTTCTGGGAGTATTACATAATACTCAATATATTTGTCATTACCTGTATAATGATTATCACTATAACATTACCTGTTGAAGTCACATTGTTTATGTTTCAGGTGTAATTATTGTATACACAACTGTTATGGAACTTGAAAATCAATAAAAAATGAAAAAAAATTTTTTAATTTTTTTTAAAAGCCCAAACTCCCTTGAATGGAACCTCCTACATGATGTTAAACACAATAAATAAAAGGCTTCTCTTGCTGCAAATACTTTTTGCAAAGCCACCTTTGCTAGGATGCATATTAAATACAAGCAAATAAAAAACTAAAAGTATATTTGCCATTATTATTATTGTTATATAGCTGGACTGTAGCTGCCTTAAGAGTGATACTGAACAGTTAAACATCTCCAAATGGGGGGCATGGGGGGGGTGGGAGGGGGGAGATTTAATGTTTTAAATGCTGAAATAAAGCAATTTGTCTGTAACCAATTCAGAGCAATTGTTAGAAATGTCCCGAAAATAACCCCTTCTTGTCTATAATTCGTGAACGGTAATCCTGGCAGCAAACGAGCGCCACCTGCAGGTTGCCAAGACAAATCTAGACAAAAATAGGGCTAATAAAATGAGTAATTTAATAAATCTGTTCCCATTTGCCTTTAGGTTAAGAGTCCCATTAACGTGTACCAGTCATGGATTTTTATCCTTAAGCTAAATCCAGTTTCAATACATTGAACACCATGTCACAGACATACAATATATTCCAAGTATAGTTTGGAGATATACTCACCTTACCTCGGCTTTGTGGGTGCATTCTAAATAACACCTGTTACTCCTCCCGTAGTCTTTCAATTGACCTGCTTGGAGACCATGAATGGAGGGACACCAGCCAGGGAGGTACCAAAGCAACTGCTTCGCGCGCACAGATAACACGTGAATGCCACACAAACAGATTCTGTTATAGAAGGTTATTCACTAAACTGAAAATTCAAAGCAAATTTCCAATTTACAGCAAAATAACCAAACTGGGAAACTGCTCAAAGTCAGCAATGCTTACAGTTGCAGGGAAGGCATCACTTCCCCATATCATTAAAATGTCCCTTTATTCAAACTAAACAGATCTGTGACAGCCAGGGGTAACCGAGCAGCTGGGGAAGAACTACAAGCCCCAACATGCAATCTTCTAAAATGGGAAGGGACTGCGTCTGTGGCTGAGCATCACAGGAGTTCAACAACCTGTAACATACACGCCGGCTCACACAGACCTTGATTATTTGGCACGTGCAGATCTATATGAAATAACGAGTACAAGCAGCAAAACAGACAAAAAAAAATTTAATGTAAATGGTTAATTTATTTTTTTAATTACCTTAACGATTTCCTGGCCTAGCACTCCACCAACCACGGCACACACCGGAGCCATCTCCGAAAAACAATAGCTGCAAAATAAAAACACACAATTATTAACTATAACAATTCAGGTAAGACGGCAACATGTGCAATGCTGTACAACCCTCTGGGCATCATGGGAAATGTAGTTCATAGTTATCTTACCCAGTTTGGTCATCTAAGTCCTAAAATATCTACCCTTCCCCCCCCCCCCACAGCGTGTTAAGTATTTTTGTTATAAGATCTTCCATTAAATAAAGAGTGTGACATCCTGCTGCCAACAGGACCCTAAAAACAAGGGATCCCATCTAGATTATGTTTATTTGTTCTTATTAATGTTTACTAAAAGATTTAACAATTTACATCACAATGCAGTTTAGCCAGGGCACACAATGCGTTGGAAGATAAATAGAAACAAAGTGGGAGATCAAAGTGTTGCAGACAGATTTGAAGCTTTTTTTTTTTTTTTTTAACCAATTCGGTAACAAATGGCAGAATTTAGGCAGTGAAAAGCCTACTTAATAAAAAGGACACTTTTTGGAACACATTTGTGAATGTTTCTCCCCCTCTTCAAGGGCCAGAGCTTAGGGTGATGATTGA